AGCGAACCAACCCCGTGACGTCACACGCGGTGGTACTGCAAGATGGCGGCGCCCTTGCTCCAAAAGCTATAACAAAACAACCTTTTTTCTTTAAAATGGTTACATTAATCATGTTTGTTATATATTTTTTAATCAAAGTGGAAATCACTTTAATAAATAATGTAAACTTGACTGACTGCTTCATTTCCACTTTAAGCTTGAAAACGCATTTCGTTTAGCAAAAATGACACAAGCAACCGTTACTCTCGGTTGTTTACTCTAACTTAATGTTTACGTGTGCAAAATCATTCTTTCTTTAGGCATCTATGGAGTTGGTAAAGCTGCTCAGCATCCTCCTGCATTGGCTGTGCTCAGCCACACTCCCTCAGGAGCCACACAGACCATTGCCTGGGTGGGCAAAGGCATTGTCTACGACACCGGTGGTCTCAGCATCAAGGGCAAAGTAAATTCTGCACCTCACTGTCTGCCGAGTGCACTAAACGGGCAGAGCACTCAATAATACTATAATGTTTTTTTTAAAGGTGAAGATTGTAATTTTTTTTTTACGGTATTAATATGAAACCCATTCCAGCTTAATATGCAGAGTGTGCTGTAAGAAACAATTTTTTTGGTTGATTTTCCACAAAAAAATGCCATCAGAATGGACTGTTTGTGAGACCAAATGCAGATATTTTGCAATGCTTTTTGGTGCCGCTAGAGGCACACAAGTGACACCTCACTGTTAAACATCAGACTATATCTGCATTTAAGATTATTTATTGTTTGTACAATTTATTTTTCTCTCCTTTATAGACCACAATGCCGGGAATGAAGAGAGACTGTGGAGGAGCCGCAGCCATTTTAGGAGCTTTTAAAGCTACTGTTAAACAGGTACTGATTATTTTGGCAACTAAAGATTACTGGCTGCTAAACTTATCTACACTAAAGGTCCTAACCCCTGTCTCAAGTGGGCAGCCAAAACGGCTTGCACTGTACACCTGGTATTAATATGTGTCTCAAACCATCCACAGTGACCGTGTAATATTTTGTTGATGGGACGGTGTCTCATTTCAGGACTGCATACATTTTCAGTGTGTGTGAAGTCATGTGCTTGTATACACTAGCATTCAAAAGTTTGGGGTGGGTAAGATTTTTTCAATCTCTATTCATAAGTCTCTTATGCTCACCAGCGTTAAAAATGCTTTTAAAACTCTAATATTGTGATGTATTATTACAATTTAAAAGACCTGTTTTATATTTTAATATCTTTTAACATGTTACTTATTCCTGTAATAAAAAAGCAGAATTTTCAGCAACGTTACTCCAGTCTCAGTGTCACACGATCTTTCAGAAATCATTCTAGATCAACATTTAGTCATTTAGCAGACGCTTTTATCCAAAGCGACTTACAAATGAGGACAAAAGCAGTCAAAACTAACAAAAGAGCAACAATATATAAGTGCAAATGACAAGTCTCGGTTAGCCTAACGCAGTACACGTAGCAAGGTGTATATGTGTGTGTGTGTGTATATATATACACACACAAAGAAAAACAAGTAGATAGAATAGAAAAAATAGAAAGCTAGTGTTTCTTTGTTTTTGTTTTGTTTTTAAATAAAAAAAGAGAAGATAAATATAGATAAAGTAGATTTAAAATAGAATAGAAAGTGCTAGAGTTAGAGGGTCAAATAAAGGTGGAACAGATGTGTTTTTAGTCGTTTCTTGAAGAAGCATTTATTTGTAATAGAAATTATTTGTAACATTATAAATGTCTTTACTGTCACTTTTGATCAATTAAATGCATCCTTGCTGAAAAATCCATGCTGAAAAAATTAACCTTACTGACCCCAACTTTTTAAACTGTAGTCTATTTTTGAGCATTTCTGGTTTTTGCTTATGCAGACAGTTGTTTTCTTTTAAAATTGTAGATTGTTGTTTTGGTACAGTGATTACATGTGGCATGAGTGATGCGTTACATGTTGACATTACAAATGCGAAATTAATCATATTCATCCCTAACGACATCTGAACAATACATTTTGTAACCGGTTTGCATCTGTATTTGTGATCGCATTGCACAAAACGGATGTGAAGAATACCAGGTGCAACCTTAACACATGTTTGAAGCTCTGATGTTGACTTCTGTTGCATGTCTCAGGGCTTTAAGGACAACCTTCATGCGGTTTTCTGCCTAGCTGAGAACTCAGTGGGACCTACAGCCACTCGACCAGATGATATACACACTCTCTACTCTGGAAAGTACGTTTTGACTCGCCAATGAAAACATCCTCCATGTGTCCTAACCAGCGATGCAGTTTGCCTGTAACTAAGGTGTGTTTCCATGATTTCTCAGAACAGTGGAGATAAACAACACAGATGCTGAAGGGAGGCTGGTGCTCTCTGATGGTGTTGTATATGCAAGCAAAGATCTTTCTGCAGACATCATACTGGACATGGCAACACTGACCGGCGCTCAGGTGCGTTGGTGTTGACAGACATAGTAGTGTGTTAGGATCTTCTGAATGCACTTGCTTGCTTTTCTTAATTCTTTATTCAATTTCAGTGCAGTCATTCTATCTTCTTTGAGACATCTGAGTACAAGTCTTTACAGGTTTTAACTGAGAACAAGATCTTGTATATTGATATGAAGAATGTCACAAGATATCAGGGAGAATTGGAGGATTTCCAGAACACAAACCACTTCTGTTTATCAGCTAACACGTATCGTTGTTTTAAACTGCTTTATGGCTGTTGCACTTTGGATTTTGGCCAAAACCGGTTATATCTTGACTTACAGTATATCTTGTGTGTTCATAATCATGTGATGGAAGCTCTTTTTTTTTTTTTTAAGAGTGGCCACTGAATCACTTCTTTGTTTATCGTCATGCATTTTAGTCACTGATGCTGAGCAAAAAAATCCCGTTGATCAGACAGCAACATGTAAGAAAAAAAAAAACTTTTATTCAGCAAGGATGGATTAAATAGAGCAAAAGTGACAGTAAAGACATTTATAATGTTACTAAATATTTCTATTTCAAATAAATGCTAATTAAATAAATTTGAACTTTTGAAAAAAAAAATTTATCAGGTTTTCACAAATGTTTTTAACATAGATGAGAAATGTTTTTTGTTTCAAATAAATGCTAATTAAATAAATTTGAACTTTTGAAAAAAAAAATGTATCACAGGTTTTCACAAATGTTTTTAACATAGATGAGAATTTTTTTTTGACAAATCAGCATATCAGAATGATTTCTGAATGATCATGTGACAATGAAGACTGGAGTAATGATGCTGAAAATTCAGCTTTGTCATCACAGGAATTAATTCGATTAAAAAAAAAAATTAAGTCATAATAATTTTTAATAATATCACCGTTTCTAAATCCAGTTCCCAATCAGTAAAATCAAGTCCCACACTACTCAAACATCCTGTCACTTGTGCTTTCCGTTTTCTTTGTCTGTGGTTTCTGCAGGGAATCTCCACGGGGAAGTATCACGCTGCTGTGATGACCAACAGTGAGCAGTGGGAAGCCGCTTGTGTGAGAGCGGGCCGCAGCAGCGGAGACCTGGCACATCCTCTGGTCTACTGCCCCGAGCTTCACTTCAGTGAATTCACCTCAGCTGTGGCTGACATGAAGAACTCTGTGGCGGTGAGGAAACAGGGAAGAGATGGGTGTGGAGTGAAAGGGGATAAAGAGAGTGTACTTCTTTTTCCCCATGCACAAATGTTCACCACAATGATCCTTCAGTTACCGTAATTGTGTACCATACAGTGCATAGTAATTGTTTACCGTTAGGACATGATGGACTTTTTAGCTTTTACAGTTTTTTTTTTTTTCTTCCTTATTTTACATTTTTACATATTCTTTTACTTTTACTTTAAATTTTTTATTTGATTTCATTTTTTATTATAATTTTTTTTATTTGACAAATTTAGGTTTAATTGTTTTATTTTACTTTATTACGTTTTATTTTTATTTTAACTTTACATTTTTTACTTTATTTTAAATTTTAAACTGTTTTATTTGACTTTTACTTGACCTTTTTATTTTATTTAGTATTACTTATTGCCTAAATTTATTTGACTTTTTATACATTTTTACTTATATTTTAATTAAATTTTTTATTTTACTTTATTTTACTTTTTTATGGATTTGTTTTAATTATTATTTATTTATTTTATTGCTGTCTGAATTGGAATTTTCAGTTCTTCACAACCTAAGACAAAATTCAATTTAAATAATTAGCTTTAATAGTAACTTCATTTGACTTAACAGTGGTGCATATTTTGTGTGTCTGCAGGACCGTGAGAATGCGCAGAGCTCCTGTGCTGGCCTCTTCATTGGCTCTCATCTGGGTTTTGATTGGCCAGGCATTTGGGTACATGTGGACATCGCTTCACCAGTTCACGCTGTGAGTATAGACTGAACATGAACTGAAATGGTGCGTATTTCTCCAAGAACTGTTAATAATTCATCAATGTGGATTGTGGACAGGGGGAGCGTGCCACAGGTTTCGGTGTGGCCATGCTCTTGGCTCTGTTTGGCCAGGCGTCTGAGGACCCCTTGCTCAACTCTGTGTCGCCGTTGGGTGCCACCACAGCCAAAACTGCCTCTGAAGACCAGATGGAGAGGGACTGCAAGAGGAGGAGACTCGTCTAAGATGATTTCAAACTGTTTTTAATCTTCAAAATGATTAAATCTCAGTCACGCCTTGTATATGTTCTTTCACAAAAGTTGCATCCATTAAACACACACACACTTGCTCTACCCCGTCCTGTACTGACCACCTCAGATAACCTCCCTGAGTTAAGCTGACATTATACACAGTTATGAATTTAAATAAAAGTGCAACGTTGTCTCAATGTTTCGTAATGTACATGTGGATCTCTTTCACAGTTTGCCGTTTAGAAGTTGCCATAGGGAATGTTGCAGGAACAGCAAGGGGCTTGAAATAATTATCAGCAAATACTGTACTAAGGTCTTCAACATTTTTCCTTTTTCAATCAGAAAGTGTTTAAAATGCAATCATTTGGTTTTCATTCCAAACGTAAATGACATGATCACAATGTTAGTGTAAGTGATGTTTTTGCCACTAAATGTGCTGACGATATTCACTTTTGATGCCAATTTTGTAAGTGTGAAGAATATGGAATGTGATTGACAAAAATCTTTTCAGAGTAAATGGGTAAAAAAAAAAGCTTGTTCACATTCATTTTCTCTGCTGTATGTCTGCAATTACTCAAATTACAGACATACAGTAATTTATAATAATGTGACATCATCAAAATTTTAATGCAAAGGGAAATAACATAATTTGACAATTTCTCACCACCAATTATCTTACATACTTAAACTAAAATTAATATTAAAACCACTTCCATGATATGTAATGATAACAGCAGCTGACCTTTGTGTAATAATTAATTAGAAATGATTTGAAAATAATATTTAATCCATTTATTTTTTCCCAAAAACATGTACGATTTTATCTAAAAACATGAAAAAATATTAAATTAACATTAAAACTTAAAGCAAAATTACACTGGATTTTATCTTATTAGTCTGTGTATTTTATATATATTATACATATATATAATTTTGCATTGACATTTTAATGACAATTATAGTTAGATGTGTGTGTTTATACGTATGCATTGATATTTTAAATTAAAAGTATTTAAACGTTAAAGTATTTCCACATCCTGGTAGTCTGTTAGACTGTCTTTATGCTGATTTTATCTAAAGTCTATCAATAATACAGTAATGGGAAAAAAATATTAAATTAACATTAAAACTTAAAGCAAAATTACACTGGATTTTATCTTATTAGTCTGTGTATTTTATATATATTATACATATATATAATTTTGCATTGACATTTTAATGACAATTATAGTTAGATGTGTGTGTTTATACGTATGCATTGATATTTTAAATTAAAAGTATTTAAACGTTAAAAGTATTTCCACATCCTGGTATTTATGCTGATTTTATCTAAAGTCTATCAATAATACAGTAATGGGAAGTTATGATTTTCTATGATCAGTCAGACGATTTTCTTTTTCTGAGTTGTGAACTGAATAGAAAGCCATGATCTGGGGGTGAATAAAACACTGTAGATTCTTCCACAGGTTCCACTTTAATAGTAAGCTCATCTTCAGACTTGATTTCAGCCTTCTGAGGAACATCTTCCATCTTCACAACGACGTTCCCGCGAATTGTAATCTGCATGTGTGGCAAAGCAATGAAGCTCTTAATAATGTCCTGTCGTGATGCACTGGGATTGACTGTGAGCACTGACCTTATGACCTCGTCTTCAATCTTTGGCTTCACAGCATTTCCTGTTTCTGGTTTAAGATCCAGGTGACCACTAAACTTCATTATGATGCCAGTGCTTTTATAATGTGTGTTGCATGAGACACAATATTCAGTTGGGCTTGACAGTGTCACGTTCTTCAGTATATGTTTACAAGGACAAATGAAGAGATTTTTAATGTTTGCACCAATGATGTCACATTTAATTGTTTCTGTTGGCACTTGAACAGCAGCTGCTGTACCTTGAGATGGGATGCTGAGGATCTGTGTGTCTTTGGTAGTTGATAGGGATGTTTTTCCCCTGAACTCTCTCACAGAGACATTTGTGACGTTGTACCATTCACCGACAGTAATGCTGTGCTCACACCAGACCGTCAGACTCATGCAGCCTGTAGTATCTGCTACAGTATATTCGGTTCTTGGAAGATACCGTCCATCCCATACAACACTGTTTCCCCTGTGCACCTCCTGGATGATCTTTGCATTAATGCTGACCTGTGCAATATGCAGAAAACAAACAGATGCATATGGCTCAGTGACTTGACACTTGGCTTAGTTATTAAAATGAAAACAAAAATTACTTGAATACACCTATCCATTTTTTTCTGATTTTATGTAAGTTGTATGTATTTATTTATTTGGGTGGGAGAGTTCAAAATAATACAGAAAAAAAAAAAAATACAGAAAAAACTCTTCGCTATTAGTAGTTCAACAATCTTTTATAATTGTGTCTTTAATGACATGTAGTTTTCATTCTCCAAGAATATGTTTAAATTGTAAAACTGCACAACAGCAGTTTGTGATACATGTGAGCCTATTTATTATAAACTACCTACCCTCTTTGGTTGTGTATGCAGGTTAAGAAGTTCAGACAATAGCACAGCTTGTGGACTAGCAAACAAGCTGTTGTTAAATGATTCTCTGAGGTCACGAACGCAGGACATTTTGGATCTGTGAGTGTAGAAGACGTTCATTCTTCTGCTGGACTCCATAGACGGCTGTAAAACCACGTCATCTAGTGTAACTAGGCTCCTGTACAAAGGATATCATGGTTTAGACACATTTACAATCAAACTGACAACAGAAATGAACAGGATGGGTTTTTAAATAATTCTACTGTATATGTGATTTAAAATGTTGCTCAATAAACCATCTTAGAAACTTAGAAAAATAAGATGGCTTTATTTTTGTGAGAGAAGACTTACCGGGTCTTTTCAGCGTTGTGGAAGTGCATGTGATCTTCTGGTCTGAAGACCACAACTTTGCTATATTCACCTTCATGTTGAAGAACGGCATCAAAATATCTCTCTTTTATGGGGCTCAGGTCGCAAAGGAACCCCTTAACCCGATTCCTTAATTTTTTAGCTGGACTTTGTTCTGCCATGTCTGATCACATGGGTTGCAGCTGTTAACTTGCTTTTAAAGTTAAATAGGAGCAGTTGACATATTAACATACAGCAAACAATATCTTAGCTGACCAGACATCTTCATATGATGTTCAAATTGTTATATCAAGCAAAACTACTGGAAAATAAATTTCTTTCTACTTTTTTTTTGTTTCCAAGTTTCTAGTTCTTACCAATGACTATAAACTGTTCCCTTATTTAAGAGGTACATCAGGTTCATTATCACTGTGTCACAGAACCACAAACGCCTGCAAACACACTGATAACAACTGACTCAAGAACACCTCTGTGTTTAGAAAAATAGATTTCAAATTTAGCTAATGAAAACATGAACATCTAAACAATAAAGTGCACAGTGTCATGCACATTGAGCTACCATTATCACCTTTTCATCTATTATTATCACTTTATCACTATTATACTTTGTATCACTTCTCAGATCAATGCTTTTGTTTCACTGAAAGCCACAGTGCTTCAACAGGTGAAACAGATGTCAATACAAGTACTTTTGACTATGCTATATATAAAATTACATAAAAGAATAGCAGAGAATATGCTTACCTGTGCTCACATGTCTCCTATGCTGTAAAAATTAAGACTGGACTTTGAAATGCAAACATGTATTATATAACTTTATGATCTGTAAATATTATTGAAAGCAGAAGTACACAGCCCTACTGATTCTTTATTGTACTTTTTAATTCAATATTTTTTTACCACTATTGTTAACTAAAAATAAAAACGGGTTTTCATTCATTTAAAGGGGTCATATTATGTTGCTAAAAAGAACATTATTTTGTGTATTTGGTGTAATGAAATGTGTTTATGCAGTTTAAGGTTAAAAAAAAAACTTTTTTCCACATAGTGTACATTATTGTTTCTCCTCTATGCCCCGCCTTTCTGAAACGCGTCGATTTTTACAAAGCTCATCGGTCTGAAAAAGCGAGGTGTGCTGTGATTGGCCAACTATCCAGTGCGTTGTGATTGGCCGAATACCTCAAGCGTGAGACGGAAATGTTACGCCCCTCACATACTGTGAGTCCCAGCGCGATGAGACAAAACCAATAAAACCCATTACAAACGAGGCATTCGTTGCATCCAGTGAGGACATAATTA